GAGTTTCTACTTGGTTGAAAGATGTGGCCTTTAAATTTGTGGATGCATTTGGTAACTGTTTTCACATTCCCCTCAACTTTGAGACACAATAGAGTCACATGCCTTTGCATCTGGTGATAGGCTCGAAATGGGAACTCACTTTCACTGACTTTTTTAAAGAGTTATTTTAGGCTGAAGATGATACAGCAACAAAGCAGGGGTCCGGAAACCGTCATATGCGCCGGACATGTCCGATTGGGAATCTCAAATGTCCGGTTTAAAATATTGCTTACCGGACATTAAAATTTTTCTGTCCGGACATTTTAAAAAGTATTGTCCGGACATTCTTAAATTTTGACCGGACATGATCAACAGTTAGGACTGAGCAGTTTCTGTCTGCAGTTGTAACACAATGAAGATTATCTACACTGACAAGCTTTGTTTGTTTTGATTGCTGTAAATACATCGTACCTACAATGATAGTCCAATCGGTCAATCACTGTAATAGGCAATAAACTGAGTTGACACTCAGACTCATGAATATTAATTAGACCGTTCACAACGTTGACAGATCGTTATTATAACAAAAACAAAGGTATGTTTTCCATATATATCTAAAATGATATTATTTGTTATTAATTGTCCGGTGAATTAAACAATTTAAATTGAAACAATTCATAATTCATCATATTATGAATACGTAACAACTTGTAATTTGTGTGTAAAAAGTCGTACTAAAACACGCTGTTTTAAGGGGGCGTGGCATAAATGTAAATGTCCGATTGGGATTTTAAATTTTCCGGACCCCTGCAACAAAGTATACCATCGATAACATCGATAATGAGTCTGAGCTGGTAAGACAAATACGAAGTGTGTACACTGGCTGAACCACTCTATAAGTACTGCGTCACAGAACGATTCAAGTGGCCAGAACTGATACCCCATGGTACATCAATCTAAATGTGCCCACCAGATTGATGAAGGGTATTTAACTGTTGTTCAAAGACCCTTTGCATGCTGATACAGCATATTCCAGAGAAGGCGAAGTATTATAAGCAAAGTAGAAGTTATCATTGAGGGTATGCCCAACAAGTTATACAGTCAAAGCATGAAGGCATGAAGGTACAGCAACAATGGGGTGAGGTCAAAAATCTCCCAGCTATAGAACGTCATCCCAGGTTTCCATGGTTGTCAAGGACCTGGCTCTTGCCGACATCTCACTTGTCAAATTCCTAACCTCAAAGTGTGCGCTGTGGCTTGACATGAGGACAACAGATGCTGATCAGTTACATGGTAGTGGACGAAGAATGCAGAATGCAAGAAAGGATGTAACCAAATAGATTACTAAGAAGGCATAGACATTATCTAAATTAAAATTTTATTTGTGTGTGATAAAAGATGCACATTTCAACATAGACAATGGACGATTTATGCAAGCAATTTATTGAGATCATACCACAGATACTCATTGTGCCATCATCTGTGGTAAAACAGCTTTACCCATAATATTTTACAAGGTCATTACCATAAATATTTCAAGCACATTATGATTATATGTCCAACTATACTCGATAATAAAGTATACCTATCTAGATGTTGTGTGACTAAGGATCCTGAGATGTACAAAGTTGACCCAAAAGAGTCCTTACCTGATTGCTTATGGTTATTTCATGACACATTCAAAGGACACACAACCCTTTTCATAATAGATTGCTATAGTGCAAATACAACAAAAGCTTTCTTATTTTGCTTTTACGGGTCAAAATACATGACACAGTGTTTGAGTTCTTACACAGAAATATAACTTGGTCCTGAAAGATCTTCAGAAGCAGACACGTCAAATTGCCATATTTTTTATATTTGTATACATATCCTGCATTACTCCTCTATGCATTCACTGCTTACCTTTTGACAGTAGTGAATCTGTAATCCTGCTGAAGAAAGAAAAGTGCCATTCTGTTCTGTGCACGCAGTAAAACCACCCAAAAAAGCGAGTTTGAAACTACGCAAGTAGGGTAATGATTGCTCTGGATATGATTCAATTGCTTTCATGGCGTCGTGTGTTGGTTACCTGCTGTGCTCCGAACCCGTAGTGCACACACTGGGCACAATTATAGTTCATCCTCGTCTTCCACTCCCATGATGTGGGATAGTGAAAGATCTATCGGGTTGTCCTGGCAATTGGTTTTTAGCTACAAAATCCCAGCATAACCTGAGGTAGACTGTTCCGTGCGTTAAAGTGTACATGAGTGATATCAAGTGCATGAATCTCTCTCACTCTTGCCACTGTGGCTTAGGCCAAGAGAAAAATTGTCTTCTTGGTAAGGTTGGAAAATGAGACTCGGACGGAGACTCGGACGGAGAGGGCGAAATTTGACCTTCTGTTCCTCAAGGCTAAATTAGCGTAATAAAGCTTGCAGTTCCCGAATCTTTGTCATTTTGTGATCCTCCAGTACTGCCAACACTGAATTTAAAGCTACCAAATACGTAGTAATGGTGCTTCCTTTCAAGTGTCTTTTGGTACACAAGTATAGTAGATACACAGCTTTAGTGGGATCTTGAGTCTTTTCTTTACAATAGGTCTCAAATGATCACCACTTATCATCATCCAGGCCTCAAGTTGAGGGTGTATGTGCCATTGCAATAGCCTTAGATAGCCAATAGCCAAATGGCTTTTCTTGCCTAGGGCTCTTTGTGAATGAACCAGGCGTGTAGATGAAACCTGCCTGGCATGGGGTGTGGTCGCCTGCTGTGTGGATGCACTAGTAGGTTGGGCCACCCTGGTAGAGATAGTGGTTTGCTTCCTGCAAGGTTTCTTAGGTCCACAAACTACCCTTTCGTCAGCCAGCAAGGCACAATCAAAATCAGAGCAAGGTTTCTGGTTGCCCTTATCTTTTGTATCACCTTGGGAAGAAGAACTTGGGGTGGAAACGAGTACACCCTTACACCCTCCCAAGGGATGCTCAGTACATCATCAACTGCCCAGGCCTGCAGATCAGGAATCGGAGAAATGTACGTTCGGATCTGAAAATTTTGGTGTGTGCAAATAGATCGATGTTGGGTTGACCTAGGCTCTGAAATATGAGATGCAATGCCTCTGGGTGGGGCTTCCACTCCATGGGTGCCACTCTGCCCGGCCTGGATAGGGCATCTTGCAGCACATTCCGACAACTGGGTATGTGATGGCACCAGGAAGCGCAGACCCAGTTGATCCACCAGGTTAAAAAAACTGACCGTCTGTTTGAGCATAGAGTGTGAATGAGTGGTCCCCTGATTTCTGCAGGCACCAGACCACTGTGATGTTGTCGGTGGATATGGCGAGTTGATGCCAAGGTCTTTATATACTGTAAATCGTGAAATTAATGCGTCTCCAAAAGAATGCGACAGCTGACCCCGAGCCAAAAATGTGACTCAATATGAATGTGACACCCCCTCCTCTTAAGCATCAGTGGATTTATATCTACAGAAAATGTCCTCTGTCAGGTTTACAGGAGAATCCCTACCTTAATCCAACATTACATTAATCTAATCACACACCAAATAGCACCGCTTATTAGCGCTGAGTAGAGTACTTCCGCTAAAACAATACATGCGCGCTGGCTCGTGTCTGCCTTTGACGCAGTCGCAAAGAACAAAGACACCGTGTTGCGTGGGTGGCGTCTGTCTGTGATCAGTGCTGACATAAGTGAGTAGAACTCTTGCCTTGACCCCAGCAGTGACAATTCACAGGATGTAATTAGTGTTTAAATGACATTGTTTATATACTTGTTACAAGTGCTGCTCAATAAACAGTGATGTGGAATACATAGCTGTTTGTTTTCAGCGTATGTCTAAGTTGGTATTTCTGCTATCCAAAATGTCTTATTGTTGATATACATGCGACGTTTAATAATGCGAACAAAGACCACTCGCATTTTTTGCATATAATTCATGCACACGTTAATTTCAAGATTTACAGTATATGGGTTGAAAGCCACAAGGTGAGAAACAGCAAAATTGGAGGATCAATTTAGTAGCACGTCTGTACTCTGTCATGAGTGATATGAAGACAACATTCGTCTTCCACTTCTAGTATGACGTGGCAGCTTGTGATTGCGGGGGGGGTTGTCCTGCTTCAGAATGGAACAACACTTTTCTTTCCTCAGCAGGATCAATCACAGCTTCACTACAGTGAATGCATTAATGAATAATGCAGGATAAGTTAAAAAATTGATATTATTCCTACTATGACTGAACAAGATAAAGTTCAAAAACTGCTGTCAAAAACTAAACATGCCAAACTTCTGATGAAGACTGATCAACCCTTCACTTATATAACACATTGAAATAATAGGTCAACACGACTATAGAAATTCAGCAGCCTGAGCTTATTCAAGAACCTTGTTGTCATACCAAATTATTTTGTCTTTTCACACTGCATCGTGAAACAGGTATCAGACGGGGGTAGAGAAATGGGGTGAGGAAGAACATTATACAATTCATGTGAACTCAAGAACTGTGTGTGATAAAATGTATATTGAAAATGATTTTTTTTTAAATGAGACATGTTTGAATTTATTTTTTAAAAAGGGACTTTTTTTTAGCCCCCAAAAGGGGTGAAAAGTGGGTAAGCCAGAACATTATAAAATTATGTGTGAACTGAGCCAGAACCCCTTTAGTAGTTCCCTACTACTCTGGTGCATTACACAAATAAACACATGACAAATGCATGACATTCTCATTTTACATGAGACATTATAGGAAAAAGAATGATAAATACATGGACCTAGCGAAAAATATCAACATTGTAAACATTATATTCAAAATCTAATTATTATAATAGGTTATGCTTTGTTGTTGTCTTGGATTGAAAAAGAGATTCACACATAATATTGATCAATATATGTCGGTTGTGATGGAATGGTTAATATAGGTAAAAGTTATAGCAAGCTTTTAGTGTTGCAAAATTCAAAGTACAATTGGTGAAGTCTACTGTCAATAACACTATGTGGTTGTGTGTAAAGTGTTAGAATTGTACGTACCTTCCATACTTAGTGTCCCCAACAAGTAGTTCTGGAGCTCTGTACCAGCGGGTGGCCACATAATCTGTGTAGGTTTCTCCAGGCTGAGCCAAGGTGCGTGCAAAACCAAAGTCACACAATTTGACCACTCCAGATTTACTGACCAGTATGTTTTCAGGTTTAATATCACGATGTATGATCTGGACCAAAAGAAAAATGTATTTTAAATGACAGGGTTTTTTTATATACACTTATTTAAATTCTTCACTGAGCTTCAAATACATAATGATCTATTATTCAAAATGATAGAGTGCATATCTATCCAAGTGTTTCTGTTTATACAGCAGACTCAACATTAACATCGTTTTAGACATATACTAATACCTGGACAATACAATACAAAACTTTCATGAATACATTTTCCGATGCATGGTACATGACATTTCACCTTTGTGAAAGAAGCAACACATATGAGCAGTGAGTCCAGTGAGAGGAACATTGTGACCACCCTATCACATTCCTCACAGCATACCCAGCTTTCTTGGAAAGTTCTCACAAAATATTCCGCGGGAACACGTGTCAAGCAGTGAGGGTTAAAAGCAAAATATATTTCTGGCTAGTTTACAATAGGTCTTATCCTTCCTTAAAAAGCACAAACATCACACAATAGTAATTATTGTGTATAATTCTAAGAATACTACTTCTATTACATCATATCCATAATCCTGCATTTTGCCTGTTCTCTTGAGAATTTTCAACAGATGTCCTCTTCACTGCCAGCTATCCAATAAGTAGTTGCTCAAGAAATAGTATTGAAACTGCTCTTTACTTATTTCCAATAATTAAACATCACAGATGCAGATATTTTGGGGAGGAAAGAGGAACTAATTCTGATGTAACAGAGGTAGCATTCTTAGAATTATATACAAAAATAATTAATATTTGATAATATATTTGAATAACTTACCTCTGAAACATCATATCCAGAATATACCAGCGGGAAAGAACTTTAGATCACTCTCTGATCTTACAATGTGAATCCAGCTGTTAACCTATGATCTAACTACCCTGTCTCACAATGATCCAACGGCTAACTCAGATTGTAACATTTGAGGTTCACTGGAATTACAAACTCCATCCTCCCAAACCCCCTCCTGAGAAAAAGCGGTCGTAGATAGAAGTTGGTAAACAAGTTTTGAGAACTCAACTGACAAGCTGGCACAACTTGTTCTATAGATATGGAGCTCAAAGTAGCTAAGCTTGTGAATAAGGCTCGAATCTCGTGAGCCCTGCAATTACAAGGTATAGGAGCTGAGAGTTGGGGATACTGATAACTATCTGCAATAAATGTTGCGAGCCACCCTGCTTTTGTTGCCTTTGTGAACAAGCGTTTCCTGTGCTTCCTATGGCCCTCAGTGGCTGCAAGGTTGCATCTTATGCTCTTGCTAGGCACACCCCTGTCTCTTGGAATGGGCTTGCCTCTGCTCCCCTGGCTTTGTTGGAGGCTAGTATCCTTTCTAATGTTGGAAAACTGATGAGATGTTGCACGAAAAGAATATTGTCCAGCTTAAATTTGTCTTCTCTTTGGAGGATGTCCTCTGGGTGCTTCCGCAAGACGCATCTGTGCCCTAGTCGCCAGGCTAATGGTAGTCAAATGGAAGCAGTCCTTGTTTTCCCGACTAACTTTGTCCATGACAAGCCACAGTTTGTTGTTAAATAGTTCCAGGGATGCTAAAGGCTGTGACAATACTGACATCCTCAATGGTTCCATCAGGTAAGTCTAGTGGTAGTTGACCTGGAAGGCCCTGGAAGTGAAGGTTGTCGTCCAAGGTGTGAGCGCCATCCGCTACTTCAAACGCATGAATGAGGAAGTCCTTCTTCTTATAACATGGAGCCTTAAAAGCTGGAGAAGCAGAAAGCTTGATAAAGTTCTCATCCACAGCAGATATATATATATTAAGCATCAGATCTCATGGAATAGAAGTGAGGTGATCGGGGCCTGGAAACGGAGCAAGTGCTGAGAGACGGTCTGCAATCCAGTCAGCAACTTGGTTGAGGCCAAGGTGTGTTTCCTTCTCTTGGGAAGAATCCTCATAGGCCAGGATGAAGAAGCCCACAAAAGAGTCTGAGTGATAGTCGTTATGACGATGGATCAGAGACAGGCTCCAGGAATGACGTCTAGACCTGAAGACTTGCTCGCGCTATGACGAGCAGAGGATCCAGGCGATGCCAAGCTGTGTAAAGATGTAGATCTGACAGTAGAGGCACCACCATGAACAATGGGTGCCAGGGGTACCGAGGGCATAACAGATACTGGGGACGTCAGAAGAGCCTTCAGTATGGCCGGGGAGGCATCTGTTGAAACAAAGATTGCTTCGTGTGCAGCCATGTGAGGTCCATATTGTTGAGGTGCCTGCTGGACGGACGGATGTCTGAATCGTGGAGGTGATGGTGCAAGCAACGCCATGTAGCTGGTCAGAGGCCCTGATGACAGGTAGTACGCTTGCGGGAAGGTCAATCTCACAGTCATCAGTGGCAGGTTGAGCCAGTGCCAGGGTGGTCATTGATGTGTAGATGAGCTCAGTTGTTGGCGTAGTTGTCGGCACCTGTGTCATACCAACACCTGAGAAGGTGAGGTTGCTTGCCTGGTTGACATAGAGAGAAGATTCTCAGGACATGACAATCGTAGAGGAGTAGAAGCTTGGGGTTTCCGGCCCAAAGAAAATGGAGTTGCTCTGGCTGGAGGAGAAGAGGCAGGCTTTGAGGAGTCAGATATCTTTTTGGCGAGTTTACGAACTTGCTGCGTACGTTGTTTATGTGACACTCTCGGGTACTTGGTGAAGGCTGTGGGAGAGAGGGGTAGGCAAGCACTACACTTAGTAGCTCTTGAACAAATATCAGTGCAGCCCAGACACAAAGGGTAGGGGTCCCAACAAGACTTGTTACTGTGGCACTTAGCACAATGGGGCATATATCTGCAATGAAGCAGTGGTGTAAACACAATGCATGATTGTGTATGTGTCCTTTTATCTCAATCCCAAACCACGAAGGTAAAAGGATAAGTTATGAAAGAAAACTTAAAACCACTTCAATAACAATAAGGAATCATAGGTACAACCATATACATGAAGTAGCAAGCAACACAAAGAATATATAACACGAGACACAAAAAGAAATGTGACCATGAAGTAAATTCAAAATGCAGCAGTAGAAACTAACATTTTTATTCGGCTAGTCCTCATAATGATAACATGTAGAAAAACCCTTAAAAATGGCAAATTTTTACTAGTCCTTATGATACCTTAACTATTGGGCAGTTTATGCTAAAATGGCTAATTGGAACAACAATACGTCTGCTATTTACCATGACAAAAAGCCACCATCAAGCTTTAAATATTACTGCAATGGCAAATATAGTAGGTAAGACAAAAAGACACAAACCAATAAGGATATAAATCAAACAATACAAAAGAGTTGAATAACACGCTAAAGGTTGTCGATGGATAACCTTGAGAACTCAAAACAATGACTGTTCAAAATGAGTGACAGCAATAACGGAAATAGCTTTTCACATTTGAGCATATTTTGTCAATGAAAGTTAAACATGACATATGTTTATCCAAATGTGGAGATAATGGCCAAAAAGAAACAGACGAAAAAACACATGAATGGACTGTTTAAGATGTGACATAGGTACCTGGCTAGCCACATGGAACAATCAATAGGAGAGTGATCGGCTTCATACGACCGAGGCATATCTTTTTTGTAATCTAGACTTTGATAAACATTTGCTAGTATTTTGTAACTCATCCGTAAGAAAAACACACTCGCTTTCACTTCAATTTGCCTCTAATAAAAAACATGACTGAACCCCTCTACTCTGAGCAGCGCCTGTATCGTTCACATCACTCGGAGCTCTATTGTTTTGTTTTGAGAATTGATTCAGCATAAACTAAAAAGGTGTGCCATCACTCTCAGAAATTATTTCATGCATGATTTAATAAACACACATAATCACTATTGTACTGTCCCATTAAAAAATAAACACCTAAGTTGCTGTCAGCTTTGCTACTCAAATTTGTTTTCATAAATTTTGGAGACAAACTGTCAAAAATGAAACATGCAACATATACTGAACAACAAAAGTTCCTTTGACATTGAGTAAGATTTAATGCAAAGTTATGTTTTTTACCAAATCTGAAACAATTTCGGTTTGCAACAGATAAAAGACATTGTAAGTGTTCAAATGGTTTAATTTGCCATACTGACTTCAGAAAATGTGTGATTTCATAAAAAACATGAACATGCCAAAATGTCAATTTAGCAAATCAATAGCTTGTGTGTCCACCTCTGGTTGTGATGCAAGCAACACATCTTCGTCTCATGGAATGGACCAGGCGTCCTCTGGGATATCTGTCCATATCTGCTGGAGCATGTTTCAAAATTTCTGGAGTGTCTGTGGAACACATGGTTGACGTCTAAGGCCTGATCCATCGCATCCCACATTGCTCGTTTGTTGAGAGATCAGGAGAGTGAGCTGACATTCACGTTGTTTTGGGTTTTTTAAAAGAATCCTGAACAAGTCAAGCAATATGAGGCCAAGTGTTGTCATGCTGAAAGGTAATGCCTGGGCCATGACGACGCAAAAACAGTAGAACAACAGGGCCGATGATCTCGTCGCGGTAGCGCTGTCCATTGAGATTTCCCTCTCCCACTATCAAACGGGTCGTCTGTCTTGCTGTAATCCCACCCCATACCATAACGCTGCCGCCCCCGAACCGATCATCTTCCATGACACAATGATTGACGTAACTTTCACCTCCACGTCGTTACACTCGAATCCGTCCTTGCTGTGGCTGAGGTGAAAACGAGACTCGTCAGTGAATAGAACTTGTCCCCACTGCATGGCCGTCCAGCGTAGACTCTGTCTGCACCACTGTACATGTGCTTGACTGTCGTTTCCTGTCAAAATGAGACATCTGGCAGGTCTTATGGCGACAATCCCTGCACATGTGAGGCGACAACGTACGGTTTGTGAAGATATTCGCCGAAGGCCAGGGATGCTTCTTGCAGTCACTGTTGCTGGCTGGAATCGATTTCGTAGGTGTGTTGTTTGAATCCAGTTGTCTTGTCGATTATTGGTTATGTGGCCTGCCACTCCGAGAATGGTCTCTGACTGCATTCGTCTGTTGCCAATGTTGCCATACACACTAAATGGTGTTTCTGTGGACGTTAAATTGTCTTGCAACATCACGTTGACTCGATCCTGCTTCAAGCATACCAATGGCTTGCATACGCTCATTTTCGGACAGGCATGGCATTTCATAATGTTGAATAATTGTGTAATTTTGTTGTTTTTCTGAGTGGTTGTTGTCAGCATGATACTAAACAATGCATATGGAATCCCGTTAACGCACGTTTTTATACACATTCTTGGGTAGTGAAATGCATGGGGCTTCCATAAAAGTCAACTTTTGCATGGAATGCATGCTTTTCTGTAGCACTTGCATTTTTGTGACTTGATTCCATACATGTACTACAATATTGAAAACCAAACATTACTTGTTTGAAAAATACACTAAAATATTGGTGTCACAGGAACTTTTTTTGTTGAGTATAAGTTCACACAAAACTTAATGTTTAATGGAAAAATATATAAATCTAATTGATATCTGCAAAATAAACACAAAATATAAATCCAAAAGATTTTAATTCTTACAAAAATTTGAACTAAATCATGAAGCTATTATGACTTGCAAAATAAAAGGAGGGTGTAAGGGATATATTCTCCCACTCCAAAATTTATTTCCTTCCCAGGTGGGATACTTCGTAATTTATAGAAATCATGTGAACCAATCACATTACGACATTGGGGTAAGATAATATGTATTCTTGTCAGGACTCAACAACTCATTTTATTGTTTCCATATCATGTAGTGAGGCGAAAGCAAAACCAAAGGACACAACTGTCAGATTATTGTGAGCATAGATAAACACGATATACAATGATATATGGGGTTATCACTGCACAACTAAAAATATACAACTAACAATAACTCAAGTAGTATAGGTAATGGGGGTTCTGCCGCAACTCCACTGGAGCCAGATTTATATACCTATACTGCTACTACAGGGGGAATTTTTTATGCGAAAATGATGATGCGATTTAACGATAGTCATGAGATTAAGTTAAATTGACTCCAGCTCAACAATACCTGGGGCCAATCATTGCTTCAATTAGTATAAAAGTGATGATGCGATTCAACAAAAGTCGTTTTAAAAGAAATATCAATATTAATTAATAATGAATAAAATTTACTATAGCCCACGAGGATATTGGAAAGGTGTAGGAGCAATAAAAAAATTAGCCACCGCGGCTAAGGTATCTAAAGATGTAGCCAAGGATTGGTTGAAGAAACAAGCGATGTGGCAAATATATTTACCGGCACCGCGTTATATACCGAGGAAGAAGTTTGATATTTTTACAACGAACGAAGTTCATCAGGCTGACCTCTTGTTTCTTCCCCACAATAAGGTAAAACGCAAAACGTATCAATACGCTTTAACGGTAGTGGATGTGGCTAGTCGATACAAAGAGGCTGAGCCATTAACCTCGAAAGATTCAACAGAAGTAGCTAATGCACTGAGCCGCATATATAAACGCGGACCACTAAAATGGCCTAAGTTATTTCAAGTAGAGTTTATGGGATCAGTAACTACACTGTTAACAAAGCACGATGTCGAAATCAGGCGTGATGAAAGAGAGGCCCACCGAACTCGAAGGAGGCCTACGTCGCGCAACCGATCCCATATGGTCCCTTAAGACATATAACATTAGTCGATTGGTTATGAAAGAAGGAGAGCCTATTCTTTATTATCTTCAAGATGGACCGGGTAGGGCATTTGTACGAGAAGAGTTGCTCATAGTTCCCAATGATACAGTATTACCACCATAACCATAAGCATAGGTAGTTACACCATCCTTATCAATCCATCTCTTTGTATCTAAGGGGGATAATGATGTCTTGTTCATTCTTAATCCATATATCCTATGATTGTAACTTCTTAAAGAGTTCATCTCGTGTTTGAACGTTCTACCCTTGAATAATGATTCTTTATACTGTTCGTGTTTGATATGCTTTTTTACAACATACTTCTTAACACCCTTAGCTTTTCTTATCTCTCCATTATCGGACTTCTTTATAGAATACATCTTAGGTCTTAATCCTACATACTCCGCTATAGGGGTCCCAGCACATTCATCACTTCTTTTTATTTACTATGCTGTGCAGTGGATTATCTTTTGGGTAATCGCTCGTGTCGTACATATCTATTTTTTCTGCCATATCTTTATACACATCCTCAGTTTGTATTTCCATCAACAAAGAATCTGTGTCGGTATATAACACCTCGCATCTATCACCGTATTGCTTCTAAAGTTCGTTGTAATAAAAGTCATACATTAAGTGTTTTGACAAGTCGAGAATACTCATACCGACGTACACCGGTCTGTTGAATGTTATATTACTCTTCTGCATATGCAACGTGGCTAAGTCGTTATAGAATATCTTGCTTCTGTTAAAAGCCGGACTGGCTATAAGTTTCCTGAGTCTTTCTTCCTCATTAGATCTGACTAATTTAACAT